CTGTCCCTGCCTCCCGAGTGCTGGGATTAAAGACATGTGCCACCACTGCCCAGCTAGAGCTCCATTATTCTTTTAGACTGATTCACTCTTGTGTAGCCCAGGTTGGTCTTGGACTCACAGAGATCCATGTGCCTTTGTCTCCTGAGTCCTGGGATTAAAGGTGTGTACAACTACTGACTGGCCTCTATGGCTACCTGGTCTAACTGCTGTCATTAAATGTGTATATCACCACTGCCTGGTTCTATGGCCATGTCTGGCTTTTCATTTTCATCCCAGTGGCTTTATTATTGTAAATTTATCACCACAAAAATATGTGTAGAGAAGTGGCTTGTCCATTGAATAGCAGGCCATGTTCCAAGCCCCGGCAGTGTGACATCAGAGCTTGGGCACTGCTCTGCACTGCTGCCAGTGTGTGTGCACCAGATAAAAGTTTTGCAAATAATATGTGGCTTAGCTACATGCAATTTGTGGTATTACTTTCTACTTTTTCTCTCCTATTCAATTAAAAAGAAAAGAGAAGAAAAGAAACACTGGACACATCAACCATACTGATTTTATGACCCACTGATTAGGTTGCTGAAAAATGCTGGCTTCAACAAAATATTTACCAGAAGAGGAAATTCCATAATTATAAGGAAGAACTCTAATTTTAGAATTTATAATGTATCTAGCTGGGCCTGGTAGCTCATACCTATAAGGCTGAGACATCAAGATTGTCATGAATTCCAGATTTGAGGTCAGCTTGGTTTACAGAGTAAAACTTGATCTCAAGGGACAAAATCTCTGTCCCATCCAATTGCTTGTTTTCAGTGGTGACCAAAAGGTGAGCTTCTGTCACTCAAACCAGGTATGTCAGGAGCCAGTGCAGGGAGATGGCTCCCTGGGTGAACTGCCTCCAATTCACAGAGATCCACCTGCCTCTGCCTCCCAAGTGCTCAGATTTCCTATCACAGGCAGAGAATGTTGGGGATCCACCCCAAGTCTAAGTAAATGGTGTGCTACTGAGCAACATTTGCAGTCCCTGTAATAGAATTTGTGATGGCTTCAAAAGTAATCCAGGGCCTTTTAAGATAAAGAGTGGGTGACAGGCAAGCTGTGATACTGAAACCTGATCTTGGGAGCAGCTGATGTCTGGTGTCTCATAGAAGATTCCATTACACTAGATGCTCCAGAGTCCCCCATGAGTATCCACTCTAGGCTCTGTGGCAAGGTTTTGTCGGTTCCCTAGTGAAGAAGGATGAGTTCACTTGTGTCAAATCCGGTAGCTAGCTAGCTTGCCTCCACTTCCAAGATATTCAGTAACCTCAGTCACCAAAAGAGATACTCATGTTAAGGACAAAAGAGTCTTCCATGAGGCCGGGTGAGGGAAGGGCTCTTCCCTACTAAGTGGGAGCTGTCTCGGATTAGTTCTGTGACCCTGGGCATACCACCTGGCTCCTCAGGGTCTGTTTTCTCAGGTACTAGGAAGGACAGCGGACTAAGTTACTGCTCCCATCTATCTGCTATGGTGGAGGTTTCCTAGTTTTTTTGGAAGGTCAAATTGGCATGGAGTTGGAGTAGGAGTGGACCCCAGAGGCTGGGGACAGGCTGTGGGTATAAATAGCTCCACAACACTGCAAAAGGTTATGTTCAAAGAGAAACTGGACCCCGTGGTATAAGCCTGCAATCCCAGCACCCAGGCTGAGGCAGGCAGATCCTGAATTCAAGGATAGCCTGGGCACCGGGCTATATCACAAGACTCTCTCAGGAACAAATAGCATAACACATGAAAAAGAAAAAGGAAAACCACACAGCAGATGCAGGTTCAATCCCCAGTGTTTAAAAAACAAAAAACAAAACAAAAACAAACAAGCTGGGCAGGTGTTGTTGGCACACCCCTTTACTCCCAGCACTTGGGAGGCAGAGGCAGGGGAATCTCTGTGAGTTCGAGGCCAGCCTGGTCTACAGAGTGAGTTCTAGGACAGGTTCCAAAGCAATACAGAGAAACCCTGTCATGAGAAACCAACCAAATAAACAAACAAACCCCAACAGGATCAAATTAACAAAATAACAAGAAGCGTGAACATGCTTGGCAGTGAGGGGTTGGGTATGGGTGGTGTGTATTTTGGGCTGGGACTTGCCAACAAAGGGCAAGAAAAGCAAGAGGGGAGAAAAAGACAACCTTCGGGCCAGAATGTCCATTGAACACCTCTCACATCAGGAGTATAATAGGAAGCCTGCGACCAGATCTGGCTCGGAAATACCACAGCAGTGTCTCTTGGTTTTCCAGTGCATGACTAGACACTATCAGGCCACCCCCTGCATGTAGGCAGGTCAAACACCTGTCATGCACTTCTAGAGTCTGTGGCAATGCTGGAGCTGAACTAATGGGCATTCTCTTTTGTTATTTGGACCACTCAGGACACAGGTGACAAGGAGATAGATGATGGAGGAGGCACTTTTGTTTGCCCTTTGCCGGCAGCTGCCCTTTGTGAGCAGCGCCACAGTAAAATCCACATTGGAGGTTTTCCCTGAAATCTCAGAAGTTCTGCCACACTGGCATCGATTCTCACAATAAACACAGGCGGGAGCTGAACAGCAGCTGCCCCCTTCAAAGAGACACACGGTTGTCTTCACCCCATACCTCCATCCCATGGCCTCACTGACAGACAGTGGCGGCGCCATTGGCATTTCAGGCCCAGGCATGGGGAAGTCTTTAGACATGCAAAATTCAAAGGTCATTTATTAAGAATGAAGCCCAACCCCTATCTGCCAGTGAGGTCATCTGCTCTCTAACTCCAACCTTGTTTAGGGTCACACTTCACCCATCCATTGTTTCCTGTGCACTCTCTGACTTCTGCCTTCTGACTTTTTTTTACTGGGTGTTTTCATGCACCCAGTCTAACGCCAGCCTGATGCTTTCTCGCTGATGTTGTGATCGGACCGGCAGTCCTTGGATATCTCACTCCAGAGGCCAAATCTTTTCCTGGTTTGGCAGTGAGGGCAGCTTCTCAAACGGTGTGCTGGGATCTTAAAACAAGCTTTCATGTCAGTATATTATATAAACTCAAAGTCAGGATGTCTTTTCTTTCTCTCTCTCTCTCCCTCTTTTTTTCTTTTAGGATCGGAAACTTTATGATGATGAGGTGCACATGCTGGCATAGTTACACGTTTCGAGGTGCACAGCCTCCCTCTATCAAGTGCATCCTTGGGCCTCCTGTGATCCAGGTTCCATGCCAAGTACTTTGTGTATTCCACTGCTGCTCCCCATTAGGGCTGTTCAAGGTAAACATTTTCATCACTGGAGGAATCACATCATTACTGAGTTTGTGATGAGAAGCTGAACCTGGCCTTGGCTTCTCCAAAGCCTGCCAGGCCCCTTCCATTAAGAGGGAGTTCTAAGACATAAAAATGGCAACCGAGCACATGAAACAGATACTGAAGGACTGCATTGCTCTACAACGTCAACACCCACACCCACACACACCCCTGCAACACACCACTATCAATATGTTTCCAGTTAACTTCAAATACCATGAGGTGAACTTTACCTCATGGTGACGAATCAGAGTCCCGTTGCTTTTTTGATCCTGTGTGGAAACTCAGAATGTACAGAATACAAAAGACATCCATAAATAGAATCATAAAAAAGACAGGTCAGAATGCTACATCCCTCTAATTCCAGCACCTTGGCTCTTCGGGTGTTTTTTATTGCATAGTGTCTTCTGATCCAAGTTGATGACAAATTCTGTGGGTGGCTATGGCTGGCCGTGGAGCCAATGGTGCCGTCAAGGTCCGCTGTCTGGCAGACTTGGCCTAGGCCTAGCCACAGGTTGCAAGTTCCTGAAGCAGGTCAGTCGGTCAGCGAGCCTTGTAATCCCAACCTCTTGTGGCAAGAAAGGCTTCTTTTCAGTAACTGGATACCTGAGTTATGTGATGACTCACACAGGGGTGTGTGTGTGACACATGAGGCTGAAGTCAGAGCACCCACTAGGGAGGTGATGTCCCTTTGGCCTCTGGGGAATGTGCTGAAGTGTACCCAGCAGCAGTCACTGCATATTGTCTTACTCAGTGTGCAAACCCAAACTGTGCCCTTCTCTCCAGAATAGTCTTGTAGCGTTCCTTGCATTAGAGCAGCCAAAACTGCATTTAAAGGGAAAGGACTAGTACTTTGACTTAAAAGATGGGTAAGTGACATTGGGAAACTGGGACACTGTTGTTGCAACTCCCAGGTCCCCTAGTGCAGTTTATACAGGGTCCTCAGCTTTTGAAAGGTGTGTGTGTTAGGGGGACAGTCCGTGGGTTTGCGCGGTTAGCAGCAATATTTCAAGCCTGTTCATGGGTTCTCAAGCATGCCAGCTCCTTAAAAGTTTTCTGGCATTGAAGCCTTTGGCTCTAGTCAAGTTTGGGCCCAAGCTTGATTATCATTTTGGCTGCAGTTCCGACTTTGAGGACTCCTAGACCACCCAGGCCTTTTTAAAAGATGGCCGTTCCTTCGGAGACAAAGACTCGAACCAAAAGCCCTGCGGTGTAAGCCTCCCGGTTTCCTTTCAACCCCACAAGCAACATTAAGTGGTAGGGCAGTTGGCTCGGCCAATCGCTGCCTCAGCCAATCTCCAGCCCCAGGGTACCAAGTTTGAAAAATCACTTTGCGGACTTGCAGATCCTGCTTCCCTCGCTGGGGGCGGGACCGGGCTGGCAGGAGCGAGGCTTCTTTCTAGAGCAAAGCTTCTCCTGGGAGTTGGGGGTGCGGGTTTGCCTTATGGCTAGGCTGGGCGGGGACGAGGTCTCTGCTTGGGGGCGTGCCCTATGCCTGGAGGCGGTACCTGACGGGTGGGGCGGGGTCTCTGCTTGGGGGCGTGCTCTATTGCCTGGAGGCGGTACCTGACGGGTGGGGCGGGGTCTCTGCTTGGGGGCGTGCTCTATTGCCTGGAGGCGGTACCTGACGGGTGGGGCGGGGCCTCAGCCTGGGAATAGGGGCGTAGGGCTTTGGCGGAGCAGGGGAGGAGAGTGTCTCTTACTGTGGTCGTCTCGGAGCGCGGAGTCGATGAAGGCGGCAGCCGAGTGGAAGAAGACGCTGAGGTCGAAGGTGGGCACGTCGTCAGCCTCGACGCCGTGGTACTCGATGGCCATGTCGCGGTAGTAGTCGGGACCAGTGTCCACATTCCAACGGCCATGTGCGGCGTTCAGCACGTGCGTGAATCCCGCCTTCTGCAGCCCGTAGCGGTCCAGAGCTGTGGCCCTGGGGACAGGGAGAAGGGTCAGTCGGTGCACGCCATGTGCTTCGGGTGGTGCTTCCTTCGGAGGACCCAGTGCAAGGCGATTGATTACAAGCAAAGACCCAAAGAACTCTCTTCTTGAGCCTCAGGCCAGCCCACTGGGCACCGTTTGTTTTTTTCCGCCTATGAGAAAGCAATTCCCAGGAGTAGCCGTGGGCTGGGCATTTGCCCTTTAAATTAGGATCAACTTCACCTAATCCTGCAGGCCCTGGGGCTGGATCTGCCAGATCTCCCCAGAGGCAACTGGAATAATTTGGGTCTGCTTCACAGAGCCCCCAGGAGACACCTTAAAAGAGGCCTCTACTCTGAAGCCTCCCAACATTTATGGGGTTGGGAAGTCATAACTGGGAAAAACCGGCTTCAAGCCAGTGGTTCTGTGGGAGGACTTATCCCCAAGTAATGACGGAGATTCTTTGGTGTGCTGATGGTAAAGAAGGGGACGGGTTGATCAAGTCAGGGTCTCCGTGGAAACTTCGATTCTAATAGGAATAGCAAATAGCAAACGAACAACAGGAGTTGTGGAGACACGAAGGCCACATGGCACCATACAGCATGGCCATGAGACTACATTTGGAAAGGGTACTTGACAGAGACCTCTGTGAAGAGGTGGCATTGGAGTAAGGCAGAAAACCTACTGGGGCAAGAGGAAGGGTGAGGAAGAATAGGAAAGGATGAGGGGGCAGGGTGGGGGCAGGGCAGGTCCTGAAGGACACAGAGAAGAGGCGTTTGGATATTACTCTGGCCACAGATGGTTTAAGAAAGGGAGTGGGCATTGTTTAAAAGATCAGTATGGTTGATGTGTGGAGAGGGATGAAAAGCAGAAGCAAGAAAGGCCCGCTGTTGTATAAGAGAGGGAGGATGCATGATCTGCAGTGATGTCTCAGCAGACTGACTGGGAATGGGGAGAGGAGGAGGAACCAGAGTGTTTGATGGAGGTGGAGGGAAGAGGAGAGGAAGATTTGGAGGGAATAATAGGCTTTGGTCTTAGAAGTGCTTGGGTGTCAGGATCAGTATTGGGGGTCAAAGAGAGCTTCCATCAGTGTTTGAAGAGAGTGGTAGAGTTTGGCTTTAAGAAGATGTGCCCTTCAATAGCATAGAGACCAGCCTGCTGCTCAGAGAAGGGTGACAAGGTTCCGACATGAACACTATAGCTCCAGAGTGGCGTTATGCTTCCTTAGAAGATCCATGCCATTCTAAGTTGATCTGTTGCTGTGATAAATACCATTATCAAAAGCAACCAGGTGAGGAAAGGGTTTATTTGAGTTTACAGGTTACAACCCATCATCAAGGGATGCCAGAGTTTAGACAGGAATCTGAGACGGGAACTAAAGCAGAGACCATGGAGCAGTCCCAGACTCACCGGCAGCTGCCTAGGGCTGCTACCACCCACAGTAGATTGTATCTCCCCCCCCCCAATCAATTGGAAATCAGGAAAATACCCCCACAGACATTCCCACAGGCCAGGCTAATGGAGGCAATTGCCTCAGGTGAGAGTCCTTCCCAGGTGTGTCAAGTTCACAGCCAAGATTAGCCATTACACATAGTAAGGCCACTGATAAAATGATGTGGACAGAAGGACCAACAGCCTAGGCCAGGAGGAGCCTCTCAACAGAAACACATGCCAAGACCTCTGCCAGGGTGCCTCCACCCCTTCTTAGTGTCCTAGTTTCCATGAGAGGAACACCAGTAGTCAGTGTTTGGGGAAGGTTTGTGCACAGGCGTTGGGCCTGTAGAGAGATTTCCCAAAAAGCCTATTAGAGCTGCTGTCTGTGTGCACTACAGGGTGTGGTAGCTCATGTCTTTATCCCAGCACTCGGGTGACTGAGGCAGGGGGAGTGTTACAGGTTCCAGGCCAGCCTGGACTAGAGTGAGGCCCTGTCTGAAACAAACAAAAGAACGGGACTCAGTTTGGTGGTACACGCCTTTAATGCTAATTTGTGAGGAAGAGGCAGGTGAATCTTTGTGATTTTGAGGCCAGCCTGGTCTAAATAGTGAGTTTCAGATCAGCTAAGGCTGCATAGTGAGATCCTGTCTTAAAAATTGTATATGTGTGTGTGTGGGGGGGGGGGGTTAAGCTGTGTGGGAAGTTGGGGTTCCATGGAGCTCCCCCAGCCTGCCCTTGGTGCTGGCATCCTGGATGTAGAACAAATTCTGCTTTCATCATTTGCCTTTAAAAGGCCTGTTTTTCATTTTCCTTCTTATCCCAAAATATGTATACAACAAAGGTTACGCTTTTGGGACACAGATCTGTACTCAATTAAAGCCTCCACTAACACAGCCTGTCTCGATGAGTAGCAATCAGCCTCACTTTGAGGTTGAGCTCGGCGGAAAAATTAGAATTAACCGTCCTTGACAGGAAGCTCTAACCCTTCACCCCCACACCCCACCCCCGCAGAAACACTGCTCACTCTGGGTTCAGCCACAGAGCCTGCACAGAATCCAATGGCAGCTTGAATAAAGTGCCATTTGCACCTTGCTGCTTTGTGGAGCAAGGATCAAGGGAAGGTGGCACACATGGAGTGATACCGTTCCACTCACCCCACCCAGCTGGCTTTGACTGTGCCTGGGAAGAAAGGGTTCATGAGAACTTTAGGTCCATCATCTTAGCATCTAAGGTCCATCAGTTAGTTCTCAGGGCTCCATCCGATCTAGCTGGGAAGAGGCCATGGTGTCATCATACACTGCTCTGAGGGGTCTCTCAGCTGAGAGTAAGCAGCTACAGCAGATTGGGAAGTCTACAAATAAAAGCTAGTGTTTTCTAGATTGGACACCTTGTGTCCGGTCCCCAGCTGGGCCAGATACTCAGCTCAGCAGTTACTGAAATTGGAGTGTGTATGGAGGGTTATGTCAAGCACTGTATTATTTTGTTTTGAGGCCAGATACATAGTTGGTTCAGAATGGTTATATGGGAAAGGAACTAAGAAACTCAGGGATGTTTTGAGATGACAGGAATAGAGGAAAAAGATCATGTGTGTCAGGCTGGAGAGATGGCTCAGCGGTTAAGAACACTGGCTGCTCGTCCAGAGGAACCTGGTTCAATTCCCAGTGCCCATATGGCAGCTTGCAACTGTAACACCAGTCCCAGAGGATCCGACCTCCTCACACAGACATACATGCACATATGTATATGTATGTGCATTAAAAAAAAAAAAGACAATATGTGTCTCTCTTCTGGGCCTGCCTATTTTCACGGGGAAAAGACTTTAGGGAACCAACAACAAACAGATTCAGGAATTCTAGAGTCTGGACAATGAGAGACTGAGGAAGTGTCTCAGTCAGTACAGTGCTTTCGAGGAAAGAATGAGGACCGAACCCAATCCCCAGCATCCATGCCAAAGCTCTGCAAAGCTCCGCTCAGTGGTGTGCTTGAAATCCCAGCGCTGAGGAGGCAGAGGCAGGGTCCCTGGGGTGTGCTGGCCAGCTACGCTAGCTGACTTGATGACTTGATGAGCGCTAGGTTCAGTGAGAGACCCTGTCTCAAAGAATAAAGTGGAGAGGATAGAGAAGGTCATGTGTTATCTGCCTATGGCAGATATACACGTGCACATAAGAGTACTTTCCCCTCCCACATATGCATATTACATATGACATGCAAGGGCACACACATGAGCATGTACACACACAAAATAATTTAGATGATAAAGGGGACTTAATGTCTAGATAGTTTCTAAAAATCCTAGTTCTAAGTAATGTGTTTAAGAACAAAACAAAACAAACAAACAAAACACATGTCAGTCATCTTCCAGAAGTAACATGCCCAGCAAGAATGTGGAAAATAAAACCCCACAAAAATTTGCCAGTCTTTCTACCCCACTAAAGATAAAGATGTAAGATCTTCCAGTTGTTTTTCTTTTTCTTTATTTTTTAAGATTTATTTATTTTTATATATGAGTTCCAGGACAGCAAGGGCTGGTCCTCCCTCAAAACAAACAAATAAAAAGGGCTTAGCATACCTAATATGGTATGATGTACTGGGAGATCAAATAATTAAAAAAATCTTGCTTTATTTTGATATTTATCATGGTTGTTGGAGCCAGCGGTGTCTCTGAAGGACACCTGTACATACACTTCAAAACCTTTGATATTGGCTGTGCACTGTGAGCATCACATGTCACTTCATGGACTTCAGTAGCTGCATGCATCCCACTGTCACTTTGGTCAGGACTTTTTGGCCCATCTGATTGTTGCAAGAGATGTTATTTATTTTATTATTATTTTTATTTTTTGAGACAGGGTTTCTCGGTATAGCTTTGCAGACCAGGCTGGCCTTGAACTCACAGAGATCCACCTGCCTCTGCCTCCTAAGTGCTGGGATTAAAGGTATGTGCCACACTGCCTATCATAAGAGACTTTTAAAAGTATAATTGTCCAGGTGGATCTCTATGAGTTCAAGACCAGCCTGGTCTACAAGAGCTAGTTCCAGGGCAGCCACCAAAGCCACAGAGAAACCCTGTCTCGAAAAACCAAAAAAAAAAAAAAAACAAAAAAACCTGGCTCAAGACAGGTAGTGGTGGCGAACGCCTTTAATCTCTGCACTTGGGAGGCAGAGGCAGGTGGATCTCTGTGACCAGGCCGGCCTGGTCTACAGAGTGAGTTCTAGAACAGCCAAAACTACAGAGAAGCACTGTTTTGAGAAACAACAAACAAACATACAAACAAACAAACAAAAACCTGGCTCTCAATTAATTAAAAGAAAAATGTTTTAAATGATATGTATTTTTTTGTATGTGTATGGATGTTTCGTATGCACAAATGTCAGTGCACTAAATGCATGCTTGGTACCTGCAGAGGCCAGAGGAGAGCTTTGGATCACCTTAAGTGGAATTGAAGACAGTTGTGAGATACTCAGTGGGTGCTGGGACTCAAACTTGGGCCCTCTGGAAGAGCAACAAATGCTCTGAACCCCTGAGTCATCTCAACTGTCCTCTATGATCTAATTTTTATTCCTTGTGAATATCATAGG